ATTTAAATAAATGGGAAGACATCCCATGTTCATGGATCAGAAACATTAATACTGTTAAGATGACAGACAGTTCTCCCCAAATTGATCTATAGATTGAACACAATCCCTATCACAATCCTAGCTTTTGAGACAAGAACTGGTAAGACGATCCTAAAATTCATATGGAAATGCAAGAGACCCAGAAAAAACATAGCAGTCTTGAACAAAGTTGGAAGACTCACATTTCCCAATTTCAAAACTTATTACAGAGCTATAGTAATTAAGACAGTGTGGTTCTAGCATAAAGATAGATGTATAGGGCAATGGAACAGTATTGGGAAACCAGAAATAAACCCTTACATTTATGGTCAATTGGTTTTTGACAGGGAGGCAAGACAGTTCAATGAAGAAAGAGTAGTCTTATCAACTGGTGCTTGGATAACTGGACAGCCACATGAAAAAACAAAGTTGGACCCCTACTTACAGCATGCACAAAAGTTAATTCAAAATGGATCATAAACCTAAATATAAGAGTTAAAACTATAAAATGTTTTATAAAACATTTTAAATCTTCATGATGCATGGATTATGCAGAAATTTTTCAAATATGACACGCAAAGCATAAAATTAAAAATAAATTTGACTTCATGAAAATTAAAAAGTTTTGTGGTTCAAAGGACACTATCCACAGAGTGAAAGTATAGTTCATGTAATGTGAGAAAATATTTTCAAATCATATGTCTGATAAGGAACTTGTATCCAGAATGTTAAAAAAAAAAAAAAAGACTCTTACAACTAGGCATTAAAGCAGCCAAATTTAAAATTGGGCAAAGGATTTGAATAAACATTTCTCCAAAAAAGATACACGAATGGCCAACAAGCACATGAAAAGATGCTCAACCTCACTAATCATTAGGTAAATACAAGTCAAAACCACAGTGAGACACACTTCGCACCCACTAAAATGCCTATAATTTAAAAGATGGATAATAGCAACTGTTGGAGTATGTGGAGTCCCTGGAACTCTCATTCATTGCTAGTGGGAATGTAAAATGGTACAGCCAATTTGGAAAAAAACAGGGAGTTCTCAGAAAGTTAAATATAGAGTTACCATATGACCCAGCAATTCTACCCCAGGTATGTATCTGAGAGAAATGAAAGCATATGTCCATACAAAAATTTATATACTGATGTTCATATCAGCAGTATTCAATAACTGCCAAGATTGTAAACAGTCCAACTGTCCCTCCTCTGATGATTGGACAAATAAAACATAGTATATCCATATAATCAAATATTTGGCCATTAAAATGAAGTACTGATGCATGCTACAACAGAGATGAACCTTGAAAACATGCTAAATGAAAGAAGGCAGACAGAAAAGCTCAAATATTTTATACCTCCATTCATATGAAATTTTCAGAATAGGCAAATTTATAGATAAAGAAAGTAGATTAGTGGTTGCCTAAGCCTGCGGTGGGGAGTAGGAAATAATTGTTAATGGGTTTGAGGTTTCTTTTGGGGTGATAGAAATGTTCTGTAATTCAACAGTAGTGATGATTGCACAGCTCTGTGAATATACTAAAAGCATTGAATTATAAACTACAATCAGTTAATTTTCTGGTATATTAAAGATTTTAAATCTATATATATATCTTGGAAGTTACATATACTACTTGCACTACATCCCATTGGCTATAACCTAGTTACTGTGTTACACCTACTTGTTACGGGGCCTGGGAACAGTATTCTGTATTCTGGGCAGCCATGTGCCCAGCTAATATAAGAGGACTGTTACTGAGGACAAGGAGTGAGTGAGGTATTACTGGATGTCTAGCAATCTTTGCCACTTTTCCAAGTTAAAGGGGAATCATAACCAAAAAAAACTGCTACAAGTTATTATGGTTAAGTCAAACAATAGTGTTGATATAAAGCTTCCTATTAGCCTGAAATAATAACCTGTTTGTTTTTCTTTTTAAAGATTTTACATACAAAGAAAGGATGCAAAGGGTTCGTGAGTACCAGTGGTGGTGTCTTTATGAAACCTGGTCCTCCCAAAATTTATGGCTGGGGTAACCAAGTTGATTGTTACAGCCTTCTCTACTTTACTTGTTGAAAAAGTACTGATACTTTTAAGAATTTTTGAGAAGTCTGTAAATGCCATTTCAGAACACACAGTGAAATCAATAATAATTCTTTTAATTGTTGAGATATAATAAATGTCAAAAATAAGGAAAGCATATTGTTTTCTGTATAAAGGAATTAGTCTTTTCAAGTTGTTGTTTTCTGGTTTTTTTGTTTGTTTGTTTTTTTAGCATTTAAAATTACTAAACCAGGATGGATTATTTCAGCACCTAAGGAAAAAAAAGGGAACATTTTTTAAGTTTCAGGGAATGGATTTCTCTTTTGAAATAGTTTGTTATTGTCTCAAAAGCTGAAAAGTTACTTTAGAAAATATTAAAATGAAAAAAATAATTTCATGTGTATGCTATAAAGCTTCATTATTTTCAGTTGATTGGGAAATTTGGTAGGCCAGAGAGAACTGGCAAAACATAACATTTTATTTTTTTATAGAAGTATAGTTGATTTACAACGTTGTGTTAGTTTCAGGTGTAGTTACAATTACATATATGTATATAGTACATGTATATGTAGTTACAGTTACATGTATTCAGTTACATATACATTCTTTTTGAGATTCTTTTCCATTATAGGTTATTACAAGATGTTGAATATTGTTCCCTGTGCTGTTTTTCTATTTTATATATAGCAGTGTCTATCTGTTGATCCCAGACTCCTAATTTATCCCTCCCCCTCACCTTTCCCCTTTGGTAACCATAAGTTTGTTTTCTATGTCTGTGAGTCTCTTTCTGTTTTGAAAATAAGTTCATTTCTATCATATTTTTAGATTCCACGTGTGAGTGATATCATATATTTGTCTTTCTCTGACTTACTTCACTCAATATGATAATCTCTAGGTCCATCCATGTTGCTGCAAATGGCATTATTTCATTCTTTTTTATGGCTCAGTAATGTTCCATTGTATATATGGACCACATCTTCTTTATCCATTCCTCTGTCGATGGACATTTAGGTTGCTTCTATGTCTTGGCTATTGTAAACAGTGCTGCAGTGAACATTGGGGTGCATAATCTTTTCAAATTAGAGTTTTCATCATTTCCTGTTACAGGCCCAGGAATGGGATTGCTGGATCATATGGTAATTCTATTTTCAGTTTTTAAAGTAAGCTCCGTACTGTTCTCCATAGTGGCTGTATCAGTTTACATTCCCACCAATGGTGTAGGAGGGCTCCCTTTTCTCCACACCCTTTCCAGCATTTATTATTTGTAGACTGTTTCATGATGGCCATTCTGATTGGTGTGAGGTGATACTTCATTGTAGTTTTGATTTGCATTTCTTTAATAATTAGTGATGTTGAGCATCTTTTCATGTGCCTGTTGACCATCTGTACGTCTTCTTTGGAGAAATGTCTATTTTGATCTTCTGCCCATTTTTTGATTGGGTTGTTTGTTTTTTTGATGTTGAGCTGTGTGAGCTGTTTGTATATTTTTGAAATTAATCCCTTGTCAGTCACATTTTTTGTGAATATTTTTTCCTATTCTGTAGGTTGTCTTTTCGTTTTCTTTATGGCTTCCTTTGCTGTGTAAAAGCTTTTTTTTTTTTTTTTTGCCGTAGGCGGGCCTCTCACTGCTGTGGCCTCTCCCATTGTGGAGCACAGGCTCCGGACGCGCAGGCTCAGCAGCCATAGCTTACGGGCCCAGCTGCTCCGCGGCATGTGGGATCTTCCCGGACCGGGGCGTGAACCCATGTCCCCTGCATCGGCAGGCAGACTCTCAACCACCTCGCCACCAGGGAAGCCCTGTGTAAAAGCTTTTGAGTTTGATTAGGTCCCATTTGTTTATTTTTGCTTTTATTTCCATTAGTCTAGGAAACGGATCCAAAATAATATTGCTGAAATTTATGTCAAAGGTACTCTGCCTATGTTTTTCTCTAGGAGTTTTAGAGTATACGGTCTTACATTTAGGTCTCTAATCCATTTTGAGTTTGTTTTCGTATATAGTGTTAGAGAATGTTCTAATTTTATTCTTTTACATGTAGCTGTCCAGTTTTCCCAGCAACACTTGTTATAGAGACTGTCTTTTCTGTATTGTATATTCTTGCCTCCTTTGTTGTAGATTAATCGACCATAACTGCATGGGTTTATTTCTGGGCTTTCTGTTCTGTTCCATTGATCTATGTGTCCGTTTTTGTACCAGTACCATACTAAAACATATAAAATTTGAAAGGAGATACAGGCATTTAATCTCAAATACTGTTTCAACAGAGAGATAAATTTATTATATATTTTTGGTAGTTATGTTGTAGTGATTAAGAGCATAAGCTTTGGGGGAATTCCCTGGCAGTCCAGTGGTTGGGACTCTGCACTTTCACTGATGAGGACCCAGGTCCATCCCTGGTTGGGGAACTAGGATCCCGCAAGCCGCAAGGCATGACCAAAAAAGAACATAGCTTTGGAATCTTTTTGACATAGTCCTGAACCTGCACTTTTCTGCTTATTAAATCTGTGAGCTTAGACTACACTTAACATTCTGAACCTTAATTTTTCTTACCTGTAAAGAAGGAACAATACCTACCTCCTAATGTTACTGTATTACATTGAAATAATATATGCAAAGCATTTAATTGGTGTCCGATGTACTGTTGGCACTTAATAAATGTCTGTTTTATTATCATTGAAATATAATCATTAAGATTTAGTGAGGTATTTGAAAATCTCTTTGCACATAAGTGGGAAACATTTTTATGGAACCCTGTGTACAGTTGTCAACTTGGTATGAAATGCCTTTTTTTTATTGGTAACTCAAAAGTGAACTTTTTCTCATCTTGGGATGAACTATCAACTTCTCCATTAGTGAAGTTTTAACTAACGAAATTTTATTGCAGAGAATGGAGTAAACAGATGCTAATTCTAAGTTTTTCATATAAAATTTATTTTCTAGGAGAATGCATAGAAGGGCTGCGGGAAAATGACTACCTTCTGATTCATTCGTGCCGTCAGTGGACCACCATCACTGCCCATAGCTTGGAGGAGGGGCACTATGTCATTGGGCCAAAGATAGAGATTCCAGTACATTATGCAGGTAAAGCTCCTTTCAAGAGACAAGAAATGGCTAATGAAGGGTACTTGAATATGCTAATTTTCTCCTCCACAGTGAGAAAATAGGAATTGTCTATACACTAGAGGGTATAATGACTTAGAAAAAGATGAATGAAACACTTTGGTTATTTTATCAGTGAAAGCTCAGATTGATTTTGTCATAGGCATTTCTAATTAATGCATGTAGTTAAGCGTGGATTCTTAAGCACAGATTCTTATTAGATATTTATAAAATGAAAATGGTACAAACACAAAGATCATCTCTGGAATGACAGTCCATATGCGTAGCCAGCCTCTGAACACCAGTATCTCTGAATAAACCTGAGCACGATTTGTGAATGACTTTGATGTCATGGTTTCACAAGATACCATTTCACAAACAAGCATTGTGGTCTGGTTTTAAAAGTATTGGATTGAAAGGTCAGATACCTGAACATGTCCCTCTTTGCAAGGAAGCGTTTAGAATACAGGCAGCAGAGGTGACCTCACTGCTTAGTTGAATCAGGATAATAACTACCTTCTTGCCTCAATTGGAACTCCATTCAGTGTAACAGTGTCATTTAACTAATTTTTATTAAGGGCTTTCTAAGTACCAGCACTGTTCTAGGAGTTTATGATACGTCTAGTAGCTTGAATCCACTTTCAATAGTGGTGGCTTACAAATGCAGTTTTTAAAAAACATTATGTATATATATTTCCTATACTTTCTTCTGGTGCTTATAGTTCATTATGTGAAGGATCTTGACTTTTTCTCTACTATTGTTAATTTTTCAAAAGTTTCTAGCAGGACACTGTAATTGATTAGCTATAAATTGTATAGCCCTAGACTGCCGTCATGTCTTTGAGTGACTCCTCTACATTGCCCAGAGAGTTGTCTGTTTGGAAAAGAGACCTTGCTATATCCCCACTGTCTAGAACAGCAGCAAATGGTGTGTGTTCAGTAAATATTTTTTGGATGAATGAATGGTTTGGTCCCCCTTTTATTCCTAGGAGTCTTCATTGCTAGATGTGACCTAGAGATCACTAAATTTCTCAAAATCCTTCTTATTCCAGAAAAATTATAAGAAAGAATTTCTCTTCCCTGAAATCCTGTCCTGGAATTCTCTTGCCCAGATGTAGGAGTAGACTTCATAGAAAAAGGAGGAACATATAGCTACAGAAAGTATTCCGACTGTGAGATTGGGAGCCAGGCCAAAGGGGCAGAGAATGAGACAGACCCTCCACCTGCCCAGTCTCTCCTGCCAGTGGTCCCACAACAGGTGAGATCCATGCTAGTTTTAGCAGAACCAAAATTCTGTCCCTTGTGGAAAACCGAGAAGGAAGGTGTAAGATTGTGATTCAAATATATGATTTTACCTAATCTGCTGTGTTCTTCTTTTAGTAGATTGAGTTTTAGTCTTTCCCCCAAACCCATTGCTCCATGACATCGTTCGTCCCAGATGCATGCTGTCATTTGATCAGTTACTCAGATCTCTTTAGAGACTCCGTATGCCACCAGTCTCTTTGACTTATTGTTCAAAGCCCTCACAGGGGCTGCTTCTAGTCCACTTCTCCAAACTTACCTCTTCTACTCTGAAGAGTGAGCCTTCCACTCTAGCTAGATTAGTCACCTCACTGTGTCCTGGATATCCTGAGTACTTTTCCATTTACACCATTCCCCGGCCGGAGTTGCCTTCCTTGGCCATGCTTTTATCAGAGCCTGTCATTGCGTCAGGAGGGTGCAGGTACCCCTGACTCTCCTCATGTGGTCTTCGATGTACTTACCGTGTATCACATTCATCTAGCACACATCCTCAGGCTTCGTTCAGTTACCTTTTCCTACAAGCACACACATCTTCACTTGCCAGCTGCACTGTATACTCCTTAACGAGTGAGACCAATTCTAAAAACCTTTGTGAGTCCTTAGGATCTATACACAAAAGATACAGTTCTTTATGGCTGCAGATGCTTCACCTAGGGATCTCAAACTTGGCTGTACATTGGAATCACCTGGGAAGCTTTCAAAATGACTGATGCCCAGTTCCCATGTCCAAGGTTCTGGTAATTGGTTTTGAGTGTGGGCTGAGCATTAGGATTTTAATAGCTCCTCTTGTATGTAGTTAAATTATGCAGCCAAGGCTGGGAATCCTTTGTTCTGGAATGGGCATTCACAGTGTCAGATGATCAGATTTCCCTAAATACCTGCAAATATTTGCAAATGTTTTATTGTTCTGAACATTTTTTTAAATAGACATTCACCTTCCACCAGGATGAAAGATGTGGTATGTTCAACAGCTTACTCTTTATCTGCAGGGAAAATGATAGTACACTTAATTGGGAGACCCCAGGGCGTGTATTGCAAATGATACTTTTTTTTTTTAAAGTAAAATTGAGGTCCCAAGACTAAAAGGAAACATGAACACTAAGACTGTACCACTTTACATGAAAAGAAAGAAAATATATTAAAGGAAGAAAAACTTGAAATAGAACTGTCTTAGTCAGTTCAAGCTGCTGTAACAAAATACCATAGACTGGATAGATCATAAACGAAAGAAATTTATTTCTTGAGAAGTCCAAGATCAAGGTGCCAGTAGATCCGGTGTCTGGTGAGAGCCCAATTTTCTGGTTTGCAGATGGTCATTTTCTTGTTGTGTCCTCACAAGTTAGAGAGAGAGGACAATCGTCCTTCTCAAGTCTGTTCTTATAAGGGCACTAATCTCATTCATGAGGACTCCACCCTCATGACCTAATTATTTCCTGAAGGCCGCACCTCCAAATTCCATTACATTGAATTACTCTGATTTTGGGAGGATATAAACATTCAGTCCATAACAAGTAACCAGTGGTTTATGAGACATTTGATAAGATTATTTCAAAGAGCATCCTAGGGGATATTTTATTTCAAAGAATTTATTATCAAGTCCAGCCTTTGGAAGAAAGAGAGTATAAAGTAAATTGTGGAGACTAAAAATATCATATATGTCTCTGGTTTATTAGTGTTTTAATTTTAATTCGTAGAAGAAACCCTTATTCATGCACGTTGTACTAATTTGTTGTAATTTCATATAGGTTAAGAGTCATCACTCATTCTTTGAGGAAAATTAATAAATAATAATTAAATATGTTTAACATAGTAATAAAATCTACCAGCTTTGTAATCAGCCTAGTTGGATTCCTGGTTCTGTCACTTACTGTCTGTATTTGGGCAAGTTACTAAACCTCTCTGAATCTTAGTTTCCTCATCTGTAAAGTGGGGATAACTATAGTGCCTTTCTCTTCAGCTAGTTGTGAAGATTAAAAAATTCCAAGTGCTCTATAGTGTTAATAGTGGTGATTATGGTAATGATAGCAGTAAAATGTTTCTAAAGATTTAACTGTTCATTTTGAAGTACAGATTACAAGTTGAATTACTTTTCTGCTCCTTAAAGCAGGCTGAATACTGATACCCCTCAATGTTGTTTTGGCTGCTGGGTTTTTTTGTTGCTGTTTTAAACTTTTTACTTTGAGGCTGCAATCGTATGATATATTCCTTTATACTATTTACCCATTTTTACCATCATTTGCCATGTTTGTTGTATTCTTTTCCTCCATCTCTTTCTCTGCACACACACACACACACACACACACACACACACACACACACACGCCCATATTATTTATTTATCCCGAATTACTGGAGAGCAGACAGCACACCTCCCCCTTAGACTTCATTATGTATTTCCTAAGAACAAGGATATCCTCTTATGTAACCACAGTACTGTTAGCAAATTCAGGACATTTAATACTTTAATCTACGGTCCATGTTCCAGTTTTGTCAGTTGTCCCAATAATATTTTTTCGTTCTAGGACAGCACCTAGTCTGGGACCCCTTATTGTATTTCCCTATCATGTCTCTTTAGTCTCCTTTAATCTGGGATAGTTGCTTATCCTTCCCCTTATCCTTCCTTCCTTATGTGTTTTATGACTTTTTTTTTTGGCTGCGTTGGGTCTTCGTTGCTGCGCGCAGGCTTTTTCTAGTTGCTGAGTGGGGGCTACTCTTCGTTGTGGTGCGTGGGCTTCTGATTGCGGTGGCTTCTCTTGTGGAGCACAGGCTCTAAGCACATGGGCTTCAGTAGTTGTGGCACACGGGCTCAGTGGTTGTGGCTCGCGGGCTCTAGAGCTCATACGCAGTAGTTGAGGCACATGGACTTAGTTGCTCTGCAGCATGTGGGATCTTCCGGACCAGGGCTCAAACCCATGTCCCCTGCATTGGCAGACTGATTCTTAACCACTGCACCGCCAGGGAAGTCCCTATGACATTTTTGAAGAATATAGGCAAGTTGTTTTATAGACTAGCCCTCAATTTGGGTTCCCCAGGCTGTTCATGATTAGGTTGAGATTATGCACTTTGGGCTGGTTGTGTCCTCCTCAGGGAATTACATCTAGAGACACGGGATGTCCCTTTGTCCCTTATTGGTGACATTGATTTTGATCACTCGGTTAAGGTGTTGTCTGATTTCTCTGCTGTATAATTACCATGCTTTGTGTTACTGGGAAATTTGAAAGAAGGTTCTTTGAGATTCTGTAGGTATCTTATTCCTTCTCTAACTCCCCCCTTCTTTTGTTGAGCAGCTATTGATGTTTCCTGTCTGATTCAATTTTTACTTTGAAGGTGGCAAAACAGTGCCTTTCTAACTTAACTGCATCATTCCTTCTTATATGTGTTGTCATTCTACTGTAAGGAAGAGCTGTTCCTTCTGTCCCATTGTTCAGTTAGTTACCTTTTATTATCAGCATGAAATTATGGATTCTTACTTCAGGAAGGGGGTCGAAATATCTTCCTGTCCTTGTTTATTTTGATGCTCAAATTGTCTCATATTTTGCCATTTGGGTACAAGCTGGCCCATCTATCTTTATGACATGCCCCCTTTTCCTTATTTTCTGTTATAGGTAGCAACCATTCTTCTCGGTTAGTGTACCATTTTCATCAGGGCTACTGCACTGTCCTATTCCAGGCAACGCTCC